TGTGATTATCTTGTACTTAAAGTAAATGGTCATACGGTATACTTTTCCTTTTTTTATACTATCTTGAATTACTTGAAAGTACACAAGGTAGATGGTCACGAAAAAATAGTCTTAAAAAAATGTAAAACTCTTTCTATAACATGAAACTTTTAGTAGACTATATATATATTTGGATAAGAGCAAAATGTAGATTTGCTCCTTCAGACAATACAGGAGAAGTTTGAGATAAAATTTTAGGGATGTAAACTACTTAATATATAACACCCAACGTCAAAAACAAAGGGAGTTTTATGAAAATCATCCATAAGAGATGAATTATTTGACATTCTACCTATTTGTACCAATTCTAACTTAAGGCCATGCATTTTTTTTAGGAATTTTGAACTGAAATCATAAGACGTAGGTAAGGTGTGAAATTGTTCATCTATCCTGAGTAATTTGATGAATTTTCTAAAAATAAATTTAATACTTACCTTGAAACTGCCTAAAAAAAAGGTCATAGTAATCTAGACCTCATAGTCATTTAAAGCGAGGCGAGGGACCACACAGGAATAAGGCACATATTCATTTATAGATAAGCGAGGGACCACACAGACTCATAGCTATTTATAGAGAAGCGAGGGACCACGCAGGAATAAGTATATATATAAAAAACCAAAAAAACATTCGTCCAATTGCCTTTCATAGAGAAGCGAAGGACCACGAAGGAGTAAGATAACTGCATACAAATAAGAAAATATGGCAGAAGCGAGGGACCACGTAAAAGTAAGATATAAAAAAAATATTTATTCCAGAAGCGAGGGACCACGCAGAAGTAAGATATTAAAAAAAATATTTATTCCAGAAGCGAGGGACCACGCAGAAGTAAGATATTAAAAAAAATATTTATTCCAGAAGCGAGGGACCACGCAGAAGCTTAAGATTAAACAAAAATGCTTATTATTCCATTGCCGGGATTTGAACCCGGGTCGTCTGGGTGAAAGCCAGATATCCTAACCGGACTAGACGACAATGGATTCATTAATCAACTTGATTACTAAATTATATTTTACCCTAAAATGTTTTTTTCAAATGACAACTTACCTTGTTTTTTTTAACCTAAACTTTTTGAGTAGCCTAACAATCACTTAAATTATATATATATTTTATAAATTAATTATAAACTTTCTATCATATAATTTTGAGATAGTTTTTCTTTTAAAAAAATTTCAGCAGTTTCTCTCTCTAAAATCTAATATAGTTTTATTCGCTAAAAATGCAGGCTTGGCAATAAATATATATATTTAAACATAATTTGATCCTAATTTATAGAGAATATGTAATCTTTAACATGGAGATCATGAAATATTAAAATAATAATAATCATAATAATAATAAAATAAATAAATAAACATTTGGGCCGTTAGTTACATTTATTTTTTTAGATGGACCACCTAATTGCATTCATCTTTAAAATGGATGCTTTATACTATTGGACCATATATTGTAGAAATGCAATCCAGACCGCATAAAACAATTTTCCCTTAAAGAAAGACCTTTGCAAAAAGAATCAACGGCAGTCCTATACAATTGTCGAAACTAAACTTTCATGCCTATGCATCTATCCAAGACCTCCCTCCATAGTGGTTTACTCTTTTTATTGCACCAATTTTTCATAGACACAAAATTTTCCAAGATTCCTCTCCACCAGTTTCGATCCTTGCAGCACTGCACAAAATTCTGCCTTATTTCCAATGTCAAAGACACATGGACAGGCAAAAGAGAGTAAAAATTGTCCTTCTGAATTGCGGATCACACCTCCGGTCTCTGCACATCGTAGATTCCCTTAAGAACTGGCATCAAAGTTGAATTTAATACGCCCATACACCAGCGGAATCCATTTACTTTTCAACTTCAATTGAAATGAGTTGTTTTTAATAAGTTCTTTAAGGTTTAACAAAAGGACCCGGTTTCTATCCGGCCAAGTCTGCATATGTAGAAATGTGGGCCTCTTAATAAATCTATTTTTGAGATGGATTTTAAGACTTAATTTTTAAGGACATGTAATCTCTAACATGGAAATAATGAAGATGAATAAATAAATAAATTTTAAAAACTAAAAATAATAATTCTAGTAAGAAAACATTCGGACCATTAGTTTTTATTGTTTTTAGATGAAATACTTACTTGGATCCATCTTTAAGATGGATGCTCAACACTTTCTTAACAGCATATGTAGAAATGGGGTCCAGCCTGCATAAAACAATTTTCCTTAACAAAATATCAATTTTAGAAACACCAGCTCCCTCCCTTCAAGCCTCAAACCAACTCCACACATTATACACAAATCTTTTCTCTAACTACTTCCTGATTAGTGAGCGTACCTTTAGAAGTCCTCAACCGTTTTGCTTTTGTTGATTTGATTTTAGGTATTTCAACGCGGATTCAAGCCTTGGGAATTTTCATGCATCCCTTTTTCACTGAATGTAAAAATGAGGGAAAAAGTAATGCTAGAAGAGGGGGTCTGGTTATAAGGACGCCATGATGTAGCTATTGTACTGCATGTCCGGTGTAAATAGAAATACATGTATTGTCCAGTGTAAATGGACAGTGCAAAGTCGAGATTAGAGTATGATCAACATCATGTATTGTCTGGTGTAAATGGACAGTGCAAAGTCGAGATTAGAGTATGATCAACACCATCCATTGTAATTGAATAGTGCAGATGTCAAGGGACGTAGTTCAACCGTCTTCGGTGGGGGTGGTAACTGGTCGGGTCCAGCTGAACCCGGATCCGGACCAAGACCCAAAATAGATTATATATACCCAAATTTGGACCCAAACCCGACGGGATCTAAATGTAACATACCCGTACCCGGGATCTAAATTTAACATATCCGTACATGATAGGTAATTTTAGACCCAAGACCCAGAACCGTACCCGACACTAGCTAATAAACCCAAGACCCGGAACCGTACCCGACACTAGCTAATAAAGGAGTTTGAAAATAGGTTGTCATTGCCTCAAGCACCTTCGATGCCTCTGCTTTTATGGAACATAACTTATTTATTTATTTTTCCATTGATGTGGGACTAAACTTAATAGACAACAAACAACCTGTCTCCCTTTATGCTTTTTGAATCTTATCTACTTTGCCACGTAGGCAATGCCTCATGCCTGATCACAGACGCACACATGGATCCGATAGCCGGAGCTCACTTTCTGGTCTGCCGCCCCCCTTCCCTTTCCCCTTCCCCTTCCCCTTCCCCTGCTTAAAAAGATTTCTTTTGATTGTTTCTTGGCTAGTTGGTACTTTTCTACGTAATGTTGTTTTTTTTTTTGTTTTTTTTGCCAAGGACACCTCATGCGGGTCACTTTAGTAATCTCACGAATTTTTCTCAAAGTATCAGTGAAAACACTATTAACATTGTGGGTCCATACCTCACTTTCATTTAATGGATGGTTCGGATTCATCCTTTATTCAGAAACGGTTGGTGCAAATTATTGGGTCGTAGGTGAGAGAAAATTGTGGTTGCTTTCACGGTTGAAAAATACTTTTAATCCCACACTAAAGATTTAAAAAGGTAATGTAGGACAGTTTGAAAGGTAGATTTTTAATGCAGTGGGAAACTTCGGGTCCCAGATAGGGTATGGGGCAAGTCCATTAATACTCGGACTCGTAACCCGTTCCTGAAATCATCGGGTCCACAAAGGACCTAAACCCTACCCACATTTCCAATGTTTGGACCCAAATCCGAACTTGTGTCAAATATACCCAACGGGTCTCGGGTCGGGTCTGGGTCCATTACCAGCCCTAATCTTCGAATGCATTAAACCCTACTAAAATATGCAGTCAAAGCTTAAAGGATTATATATTATAAGACCTTTTACTTTTAGTACAAAATAGTCAAATCAGACATTAGATGTGAAATCCTATCTATTAAAGTGTCACAAAATTCGACAAATTTTATTTGATGCTTTGGCCTAATTGATAACACATCCATATCAACTCGATTTCACATTTCATGGTCAATAATAATTATAACCTCCTTGCACGAAAAGCTAGTATCATTGTATACATTTCCAAAGCATAACATGGCTCAATAAAAAACAATCATCCCGCCTCCTACTTTGACTTAATACATGAAGCTTTTATTTTGCTGATTTTTTCGATGAAATGATTGGACTCAATACAACTTGAAAATGAAAACATGATAAAACAAGATTAGGCACTAAGGAGTAGGAACTAGTTATGCTTAAATTAGACAAGCAAAAATGAAAATATGCATATCTTTTTTATTGGTTGGTAAGTTTAGCTGGGTATCAAGCCTCATACCTTGCAGTGCACCTGACCATGAAATTCTAGATTAACTACAATTCCCTTGTTTTATCAATTGTTTGTTTCTAAGCATTTCTAATACAAGCTAACATAAACCCTATCTAGACTCACAATCACAAGAATGCAATGAGAAGAATTTATTTCTTCTCGTAAGTTTTAAGTGGTTATTAAACCCCTAAGCAACAAGCCAATGGCATGTTTATCACAGGTCTCTCTTAGAAACACCTTGTGTACATTCATTGTCATGAGCAAACAGTGAATTTTCAGCCAATTTTCACTATTGGATTAACACACGTGCACATAAAAGGAACATGAAATTTTCTCATAGCAAGTATAGATGCATGAGGAAAGTAAAGATTCCAAGCATGAGAGGCAAGACACCCTTCAAATGGTCTCCCCATATTCTCAACACGGGCAGCCAATGGCCCTTATATCAAACATACTGAGAGTTCATGCTGTTAAATGTGAAATCTTCAGTACCAAAATCAGAAGCTCATTTTGGGATAGAGGTTACGCAAAATAGGAGACATCAAAATCAAAAGTACATGAGGGAACTAGTAATTCATGTTATATCTCTACAGTTATTGAAAGACTCGGCAAATAAATGAAAACAAGGGCACAATTGCAAGAGGAAGTCTTTAAAACTTGAAGAACATAGAGAACAGTTGCAAATACAAGATGTGCACAACCAAAACCAACATATTTGATCACCAAATCCAAAATTTGATACATTCTTTCATTTCTGTGTTATTCTCTGATACAGCAGTAGACATCAACTTATCATGCTAACTATGTCATGGTTTTGTCCTCTCCCTAGGCAGATGTCTAATTTGATTGCAATTCTTTACCTGTCAACAACAAAATATCACATGCAAACACACTGGATTTTGAGCCTCACTGTAGAGTAGACTTGGAGGCACCATTAAAGGGTTATTTTTTGTCAAAGATTTTGAAAAATATACAAATACAATTTGTACAAAACTAGTGAAACTCCGTAATCACTCAAGAAAAAGAGCTTTATGGCCCATAAAAAGGCTCTCAACAACCCTCCTAGAAACCCCTCCATTTGACCCACTTCACCATGTTGCCCTTGGAAGGAAGCAATTGCAATCTTGACACATAAATCAGAAGCAATTCATCTTGTAGCAGGATTTTGCGAATTCAGTGTCACTCAAGAGAATATGAAGGCTCTCCATTTGATAAATGTCATAACCTGAAATTCTGTTTACTGGTTATTTCATTGAACGTGTTCCTTGCCTCTTCCAAGTGATTCACAAATTCAACTTCTCTAGCCCAGATACTTGCCTCTTGCTGTAATGGAACCTGCATTTCCATCAACTCATTTTCCATCATCCCTAAACCATCAGATCCCACTGTACTCCCCACAACCCTCTGCAGAAAAAGTGAAAAACGTACCAAAAAAAACAGAATTAGAAGATGTATTTCCACAAGAACATTGTTTGTTCTATTTGTTTTACACAACTTTATTGAAAATTGACTGTATGTGCATGGATTAAAAAAGATGAGAGTAAGCATTAAAGCAAATGAGGAGGACATCAAATTTCAGCTCTTAATATGCACTTAACAAGGAGGAACTACAATCCAAGAGTATGGCATAGGTTTGGGGCATGGGGCATCCTCTATTCTTTCTCAATCATGCATGCTAGAGATTAACAGTGCTCGATTGACAGTTTTGATGGGCCCCTATACAATTAATCCTGCTGTCCATCATCAGGAACGGATTGCAGATGCCTCTTTGGAGTACCATAAACATACCCTACTGAACTATGGCATAATCTCCCCTTAACAAAAGGTTAAAAGAACTCACCAACATGGAGCCTCGGCATGCATTTAGCATAATGAATTTGAGGAGACTTTGATCTTCGATACTCAGGATTTTGTCAGAACCGACGGTAAAGGAAAACTCCAAAAAGTATTTATCACATGGACTACCTAGATTTCTGACTGTAATTCTCTTATGCTTCTTAAGCATTCTAGAGAGAAGATATCCCACAGAAAGTTGGTGTTTATTGCTTCTCGCTGATCTCAGGCCTCTAACATCAAAAGCCTTTCTCGATGTTTCTTTAAGTCCTAGCATAACAGCTGCTCTTTCTTCAGTTGCCCAGCAAGAACACCAGGCTGACCCATCCTCTAAATGGCAGGTTATAAAATCATTAACAAAAAGAGTAAGAACATACTCATCTCTTTCAATTTAGCAAGGAATAGAAACTGAATTTGCAATTAGAAAACTGCACTATGCTAGTTGCTACACCTGTTAGATATTTTAAAAGCTTAACAAAATTTCATAAAAAAAGGTTCAGTATAATATTAATAAAATCACCTATGCAAATTCAACAGGCGATAAGAGGAGAGAAAATGGACTTAGGTGGGCTGGCTATGTGCAACATCTAAGTGTAGTTTGATTTGCATCTTTCTAATGTTTAGTAGAGAGAGAGCTCCTAAAATGGCCATAGGATTAAGCTGCAGGGTCAACCAATTATATCCTCAACGAGCATACCAACTTACTTGCACACATTCACAGCCTGTCCACCCCAACAGATGGCGGAGATTAACTATTGGTCTGTTAAGGAAAATGATAGACTAAGAGCAGATCGAAAAGTTCATTCCTCACTGTCGATATGACAGGATGGGGATGCCTTCACATGTATTGGTATACCATACATGAGTGAATAGTATTATTTTCAAGCTAAAGCACTAAAATAAAGAAAGCACCTGATCTGACCATAAAATTGAACCTCAGGGAACTCTGAAGCCCAAAGGCTGAGTGAATTTTTCTATTTTTCCTTCCTTGAAGATTTGATAAATGTATATTTTTTCTTCCTTGAAGATTTGAGTGAAATGTATATTTTTTTTTTGATAAAGATGGGTGAAATGTAATTAAGATTTACCAACATATAACCACCATAAGGCATTGCTAGAATACACCGTCTAACTTAAAGTAGGCTAGCCATAACTCAATTTATTTCATAGTGCTTGCTTATGGCACGGGATTCTTTTTTTAGTCACAAGAAATGGATTTTCCTATGGTGGTAACTGTCAATAAGTGTTCTTCCTAAGGTGGCTAAACCACAAAAGTAACAATACTGAGAAATCTCATAGCCCTTTAAGTGAAAGCAAAGCATCCAGGGATATGTAAGCTAACCAACCTCCATAAAATATTATAAAGCAAGAATCTTTTTTGGAAGCTCAGAACGCCTATATAAGACATACCAAAAATAAAACAGGCACGTGGTATTTTGACTAGTGGAATTCTGGCTTGTTTCCTGCTCCGATGCCTTTTATGATTCTGCACATGTTCTACAAGTGAAAGGGTATGGACAGCTACAACCTGCTAACGTTTCAAATCAAAACTCAAACAATAGAGAGAGCCTATAAAAAATTTAAAATGAAGAAAGTCCATTACTGGAGAATCCAACAATATCCAGTTGACCACTTCCAAGATTTTATGCCCAACATGACAAGAACATAACAATAACAAAGAAAAAAGGAATAAGAGAAACAGTCAAAACAGTGAGCACAAAACCTGCATATGTTGTCTAGATGCTGTAAAAAATCGGAATCTCGAAACTGTGCTTGAACTGGTCATTGTCATTCTACTGACTAGTCTGCCCCTAGTCACTTAAGTAAAATGCCCTCAATTATCTGACCAGAAGGGCATACAGTCATTTAGGAAAGAAGTAACTAGTACAGACACTGTTTTAAGATTCCAATTTACTGGAACACATACAATTATGAAGGTGTATGATGCAACCTTTTGACATTCTTTAAAACAAAATAAAACTCAGAAGCATTCAAATGAACCATAGTTGCACTGAATATTCTTACCTTTCCAAAAGTTAGGTCTCTCAAAAAAAAAAAAAAGGAAAAAAAGAGAAGAAAAAGAATCTTAGAATCTTACCTTTCCATGAAGTCCAACAATTGTAGTGTCCAAGCTTTGAAATGATTGAGAAATTGAACTTGGCAACGGCACTCTCTGAAACTCTATATTATTACGTTGATTATTAATTTCCAGCAAGCAACTTCCATTGTAGCAGTGATCAACCTCTTTAACGGCAATGATTGAAATGAAAGAGACTGGCACAAACAACAGTTCTCGTCTTCCATAGGAGTTGCTGGACGTAGATAACAGGTCATATATATGTTCTCAGCTCAGATGACATGCGTTATATCAAGGTCAGTGAAGTTATAATCTATTTGAAAGAACACTATAATCCAATAGCCTCTGGAAATTAATATTCCATCGGAGCCATCACTGTCCATCAAATGATAGATGCTGATGGAGAGTTCATTGGGGTCATGTACCCATTGTAGCACGGTCCACTCTCTCCAACGCCAATGGACTATGGAAAAATTAGCATAGCTTTCCTAACTCTGAAATTTCAGTTGTGGGGATGACGATGGTAATTTTTAGAACAGAGAATCGACATTCAACTACAAGAGCATGTTTCTTATTATTCGCCCGAAAAACAAAGCTTGGTGTTAGAAGATGCAGACACTTGAAGAGTTTCTTTATATGCTATTTTGGTTTCTTTTATGGTTCAAGAAAGATTCTGCTTGTGCATCTTAATGAGTATATTCAAAGTTGAGGTTTGCTTTAGTTTTTCCCAAAGACTACTAGAAAATCAGGTGACAAAACTGAACATAAATTGAGGATATCATAATTATAGGTGAGGTTGGGTTTAATTTTTCCCCAATAGAAATCAGAGGACAAACCGAAGATAAACTGAGAATATCATAAAAATATTCCATGTTTAGACTTTGGAAAGTTGGAACGAATCCAATGCCAAACCAAGCTATCATACATGATATCGAAGTTTCTTTGTTCTTTCTTAATTGTTACCGCAGTTTCCACTCATACAACTCCGAAATGAAAACCAAAATGAACATGAATGGAAGAGATAAAACTTTAATATGGTATAACCACACAAATGATTTGTCTTTTTCTGAAACAACAAATGTTCAGTGGTCACAGAGCCCAAACACACACATATGCGAGCTGTAAACTTTATAAGACAATTTAACTAGCCAAACAAGGGTATCCACAAGAACAAGCTATTAGCTAGTTGTAATCAAGAATGAAAAAAAAGAAACACTGGGAATAGCATTTTAAAAGCACTACCTGAACAGAACACGGTGAAAATATGCAACAGCTCCAGGTCCCAACCCGAGAGGATAAGCATGTTTGCTGAAATTACCATGCAACCTCACCTAAGAAATCAAAAGAAAAAGCAGCAAGAAACTATATCATAAACTCATGAAAGTTGCTTTTTCTTAAAGAACTCAATGAAACATTGTACATAGATGCATAATACAAATATTCAGAAACAAGCATTTACCACATAGGGATCAACAAAGACATGAATACATGTCCCCCTTTCGTGAAAACCTCTGAACTTTGAGACATTCTTGAGACATTCGCTGCCAAAATGGATCCCACTATCAACATACTTGCCATCCAGAGGGTGAACATCTGTCACTTCTCCAAAGAATGATATCAATTCCCCTTGTGGCAACCTGCATTCAGAAGTTCTTCCTGAAGCCAGTGAAATTTGAAAGGGAATTGCAGGAATGTCTGTTGATTTGCTAAAAAACTCTTCTGATTTAGTCGAAAGCACAAATATATCTTCAGCAGCTCTAAATTCTTCCTTCACTTGGTGATTCACATCATGAGGCATATGCAGGATCACATCTGAAGAAGATCCACATGTGGCATGGTCCTGGCAGTGCTGGAAAGGCAGAGAGTTCTTGAAAGACTCGCCCAAAGTAATCTCCTTGTACAGAGACAAGACGGACTTTGGATAAGGACAGCAACACCCACAAATTGATAAGCTCCAAAGTGGAGTTTGGGAAGTTACAAGAATTTTAGGGCAACTAGGATACTCCATGATATGCTTTCCACTGCATACCAGCTGAGCTTCGACATAGTCCATAATGACATACTGGCCAATATCTAGTAGCTGGAACATATAGAAAAACACGAATGTCCAAGATGAATTCAACTATCAGATACTGAAAGGAGAGATTAAGGAAGTTCTAGAGACACTAAACATTTGAGCAATTTAGCAAAGTAAAAGTGCAGTATCAATGAATCGTGGAAAAACCATAGTTCTTTGAGTCATCACCATCCAATACAAGGTGGTTATGTAAAGAGATTGGAAACCATCAGAATAGGGCATGACCTTTCTTACAGGTACAGTGCCCATTTTATGGGAGGATTGTGATCCAGTGGACAAGGTTTTCCCATAGTCCATTAAATTATACTACACATTCCCTTCAGAAAAAGATAGACAAACAGCACTACAATGTATCTCATACTCTTGTTTTTAGTTAGGTAATGTACCTCATACTCGAATAAGCTATCAGAACCAAACTCCAGGAGGACCATTCTGACATTAGAATCCCCCAGAACTTTGTCCTTGACATCAGATCTTCTAAATAATGTACCCGAAACAGGAGCAAAGTAAAATACGCGTCTAAAGAGGAGGGAGCACGCAATTCCAAGAGATGAATCCAAGTATGAAATATTCTCTCCACTGCCAAAGTCACAAGATGGAAAATGGCAGTTCCCATGCAGTACATCTTGTTGACAATCCTGAACAGAATCAGAAGATGCCCGTTCACAAACGATAATATCTTCTTTCCTATCAGAAGGGAGGGCACATTTTGACTCATGAAAAGATGGTGGTCCAATAAATCCCTCTGAAGATTCTAACAGACTGTTTCTAAAAGCAAAAGTACTTTCGGAAATTTGAGATTCTCTGAAGCCCCCAGGAAGAAACAAATCATAAGGCAACACTACAGCCTCAGCACAAAATCTCGACTTCTTTGAAGTGTTTGGTTCATCTTGCAACTGCAACAGCAGAGACAGGGAATGTTCAATTTATAGTAGCTCAGGAATGGAGAGTACATACAATCCAATGTATTATAGTATGATTATAGCCCAATGGGTTCATCTCCATCCAGTGAAATGGGTAGTGACTGAGCAAAAAATGGGACACAACAGAACAGGATGGGACCCAAGCAGGGGGTTCCACTCTCCATAGTGCCCATTTAACCAGACAATGATGATTCCAATGGACTAGATCTAATCCATTGGCCTATAGATAGTTTCCTTCAATAATATACAATTTATTTCATCAAACACTTAACTGCCAGATGAAACAAGAAAAATCCAAATGTAACACACCGTTTGAGTTACTGGAAATTTATGGGTCACTAGCAGAAGGTGAAACATTCTATCTTTCCGGTCCTTGACATCATCAATCTTAGTTAAACATTTAGACATATGAGTAGGAGCAATAATGTTGGTCGTCCTCTTCAAATAAAAATGAACATAAACTGTCAGATAATCCAGCTTTCTCTTTTGCACAACTCGCCCAAAGATACTCTTGCATGAGAATGATTCATCTTTATACACTTCTATGGAGTCCATTTTGATGGTCGAGCCTTCCATAACCAGCTTGTAATCTCTAACCTGTTCAGAATAAAAGGTCAAAAACTTTAGGCTAAAAGGTTAGAGTCAGGCATAAAAGAAACATAAATAAGGGAGTATACAAATGAACGATGGACCATGGCATTAGGGTAATCATGGTTCAACAAACTGATGGATAATGATGGTGAGTTGACACCTGAACAGGACATGACAATAGAATGGGTCTCACTCTGTCTCCATCATGGTGAATCATTTCATTAGATGATGAGGACCACAATGGGCTATGGTCTTCCATAAAACCATTGTTTATAGGTTGCATTCCCAAAAGAAATATGCAAGAGCATAGTTCACTGGATTATATGTTACATTCGCCAAAGAATATGTGAGTGTCAATGAGTGAGAAAAATGTCTGTGCACAGGCATGAGACAAAGTAGCACATGCTTATGTTTTCCCTTCTTCCCAGCAATGTTCCGAGTAATATTACTATTAAAAAGAAACATCATGAAATCCAAGACCCTAGCAAACCCTCCTTCCACTAAGTTGAAAATAATCTTGAGTAACCAAAAGAGTGTAAAGAAAAGAAGAGAACAATTAGATAGGATCTAGAGTGAGAAAGAGAAGAAAGAAGATAAAGATGGAGGAGAGGGAGAGAGAGAGAGGGAGAGGGAGACATGTGAGAGATAAAGAGAGAAGAGGGCGTGATGGTCCAATGTGACCTCCACCCTCTCATTTATATCTATCTATCTATTATTATATATAAAGCGAGAGGAGGTCCCACTTTATTTTATTGATATGTATCCTTTTTTTACTTGTATCCTACTAATTATTAGTTTATTCCTCAGTTTACCCTTCTATTTGTTGGATTGTCCAACTCTCCATATTAATAGCTATACATTAATCTCTCTCTCCATAATCACTCACATCTTTAATATGCCCCAAATTTGAAACTTTCAACATTATTTTATGTTTTAAAGCTCTTTATTTCTCCCTCTACCTATGTGGTCTGTCTTCCACATTCTCTCTCACCTTTCTCTTCATCTCTCCTATATTAATTGTTTAACATTATTTTTACATTAATTATCCATTATCTCTTAAATTTGATAACACATCTATTAATTATCTCATCTTTATCTTTCTTAGATTCAAGAAACATTTGCTCTCCCTCTCCTCCCCACATGCACACCCTCTCTATCTCATTTTCTCTCTCCTCCATTTCAACACTCTTTTTCATCATAAAATAAGCATAATCATTCAAGATATTAATTATAGTTTCATTAACAAAGTTCAAAAACACGGATGCGTCCGCTTAGGCAGGCACCCAGAAACATAGGCAGCCAGGATGATTCCTGTTTTTTCCAAACTAAGTTGCACTTCAAGACATTTATCAAAGTGATTTACAATTGACGAAAGGAGTGTAATATATTAATAGCTACTCATGGTTACTGTTACATGCTGAAAAGTAATCCTTCTATTTTTTGGTTTACCAATAAATTAATATAACTACTCATGTTATTGTTACATGCAAAAAGCTTTTTTGACAATTAGCGTAGAACGTTTAATTCTTCCATATATTAATTAAAACTGAATTAATACTATTTTTTAATTTACCAATAAATAAATCGAGCTACTACTCATATTACTGTTACATGTAAAAGCTTTTTCGGCAAGTGGCATAAAAAGTCTAATCCTTCTATTTATTACTTAATATTGAATTAATAGTTTACCAATAAATTAATATAGCTACTCATGTTACCGTTACATGCAAAAAGCTTTTTTGACAAGTGGAATACAAAACATAATCCTTCCACATATTAATTAAAACTGAATTAATACTTTACCCATAAATTAATATAGATTTTTCGATAAGTAGCATAAAAAGGTGCAGGTTAAGGCAGGTGCCTAGATGCTCGCCTGTTACGCCGCCTAAGCGAGCGCCTAGATGGACCAGCCTATAGAATGCCACCTACAGAACTAGACAGTTTGGAAAAAGGGCCGCCTAGGTGGCAAGGTGGCCGATTTTCATTCATTGTTCATTAGTAATAAAAATTATCATTATGAAGCGTTGTTCAAATTTTAACTTAATATTATTAATTAAATTACAAAAACTAATTACTTTGTTACAATAATTAATACTAATAATAATTGTTGTAATGTTCATGTGATAGATATATATGAAATAATTATACAAAAAAAATGATTGAAATAAATTACGAAAGTATTTAGAATCCTGATTAAATATTATGAATACCTCATATAAGTATAATTTTATAATTATTTATTAATAGTAAAGAAATTCAAATTTTATCTATAGAATTTATTACTTCATATTAATTCGTTTAGTTTAAAATTAGGGAAAATTACATACATATCCGTTATAATTTCGGTTATTAGGCTCTATCGAATAGTTTCCGTTACAACCACCGTGTCCGTTTTTTTCATATCAAAACGAAAAAAATTTAAAAAAGATGATTTTACCCTTTTTTGGTTGTTGAACAACCGAATTCAAAGTATTTTTGGTTGTTCAACAATAGAAAATGTGGCCAATTTCAGTTTTGAATAACCGAAAATTTTAAAATTTTCGGTTCTTCAAGAACCGAAATTTTTTTTCTCTTGTGGGTCTGCATATCCCCTCTCTACCTCTCTCTCTACATTACATGGGTAAAAATGGTTTTTATTTTTAAACTCTCTCTCTTTTTACTCTGCATTTTTTTTTTTGGGTAAGTTCATAATCCCTGAGATTTCTCCTAAATTTAGGGGCTCAAACTAGCTGTTTCTCCCTGATTTTATCGGATAACCATGACTTCAACGAGGTAGGGAAAGAATACGCCACAAGATTTTTCCTAATCTTCAAATCTCATAATCCCTAAGATTTCTCCTAAATTTAAGGGCTCAAACTAGTTGTTCCCCTTTGATTTTATCGAATAACTATGACTTCAGAGAGGTGGAGAAAAATACACCACAAGAGAGAGAACATTTTTCGGTCTTGAAGAACCGAAAATTTAAAATTTTCGGTTCTTCAACAACCGAAATTGGTGTATTTTCCATTGTTGAACAACCGAAAATACTTTGAATTCGGTTGTTCAACAACTGAAAAAGGGTAATGTCATCTTTTTTAAAATTTCCATTTTGACATGTAAAAAACGGACACGGTAGTAATAATGGAAACTATTCAGTAGAGCCGTAATAACGGAAACTATAACGGATATGTATGTAATTTTCCCTTACAATTAATACATTTATTTTTAATTCAATTATAGTCATAATATTATAATCTCTAAGTTATTAAGATGTCAATTTTTATATATTGTTGGATATCCTTTTGATTTTTTTTGGCATATATACTAACATTATTTTTAGTTTTAATTGTAATAAATATCTAAATATCATTGGTTATTTATTACACATATCATGTGATAAATTTTTGTATTTTTTTTTTTTTATCATAGCATCTACTATTGTCATAAGAGAGCCTTAGTATGTGAGTGGGGAGAGAGAGAGAGAGAGAGAGAGAGAGAGAGAGAGAGA